ATGTTTTGATAAAAATACTTATTCTTATTTAGGACCGGTCTAATTATGGCTGATGAAGTTAGTTTATACATTTATTCATCCAAAATATATTGTTAGAAATAACATACGAACTATAAAACAAAACAGTAAGGTCAAAGAAAATATTTTTAATACACAACGTTGATGTTCATAATCATTAAAGGACAATTTAATTGCAGCGACCATTACCACTAGCACGGGCCACGGTAGCTGGGCAACTAGCTCATATACCAAGAATACTGATGATCCCAATTAATCTGCCAATACCATTTAAACGGCTTCAATTTCCTGTTAAAATATCTCCTTATGCAATAGACCTATGTATGTTTTGATCTTAAAAAACTACGCGGTTTTGATGCGTTTATTTAAAAGACAGAATATATAGAGTGACTCAAGAGGAAGATTTAGGATATATAACGTCCCACTACTGAGCACGGATCTTTAAACGCACGATCACCTATATAGAATATTCTATGTCCACGCGGGCGAAGTTGCGGGCAGAAAGCTAGTGTACAATAAAAATGTATTCAATCTCAATTTACATAAGGCAAAATTGTAAATTTCTTAATTAACTGGTAGATCATAAAACAATTTTACTGATTGATATCTCGCACTGTGTATAACTCTGAATATCTAATTATTATTTGGTATCACAGACTTTTTCTATACTCCTTATTGTGTAGCAATTATTCAATGTATAGTCTATCTAAATGATGAAACACCTACATCCTCTAAGATTTTATAGTTCTTATGTATTACGTAATACGTATGAAACGTGTTCATTAAAGTAGTCCAATCAGGGGTAATACCACAAATTGAGAAACGTTTATTTTTGGGGTTTCAAGTTGAGACTTCTTAAATACAGTAAAGTGATGAATTCTTTTTGGTCTCTATCTACTGAAAGTACAATGCTGTTAAGTAACCGTTAATAACGAAAAATGCATTTTTAACCGCTTGATCAAAATCGTTAATAACCGACTTCGCATCTATACTCCAGACAGTCGTCAGAGCAGCACGTGTTTGGAACTAACGCAATTCCGAGAGGTTAATCCCCTGTGTATTTTTTCTAACACATCGACAGGAGCCATTGTGATTCTTGAGCACGATGGCCGCGGCTCTGGGGACCGATCGTAGACATTCACCGATCCATACGAGATGGTGTGAACTATTTATTTCTGGAAATATTGTCAGAGCTCCCTCCGGATAACCGGCTGAGTGGAATATTATATGGTTGAGAAACTTTTGCATATGGCAACATAATGTATTTTGTTATACTATGATGGTAAACGGTAACCGTAGCTATGGACGCTTATTAAAGTGGACCAGCACTTTGATAATTATGACAGGTTTATTTTATTTTTTAAATAACTATTTAGTTATTTAGTCAACTCCCCCTCCGATCGACCCCCGTCCAATTCAAACGGGCATCGAAATTACGACGGCCTGATCCAAACCCCTAGTGGTGCCCTCAGACTAAAGTCGTATCCGTCAGGCGGGAGTTGGTCTTCAGCCGCTCCATAAGTCCTTCCGCGGGTTTGAAGTGCCATCTGCACTCGCCCCCTATCTTCCGGTAAAGCTGTAAAGGCCAGCTGCCGGCAACAGCATTAGAGTAGTCCGAAAAAAAAATTGACAATTTTTCTATTCACACAAAATTCTTATAAATGAAATGGTATACAAGATTTATCTAAAAGAGCAACACGCAGTACGTTTGTTTTAAATTTCTACTTGTGATGACTCTGCGTTCTCAATGGGTGGCAGAATAAATAAAATACTATTCATAAATGCTTATATTATATTATAGTTTAAAGAATAATTCCATTCCTACCTTATTTTCAAATAAGAAAAGCCGAATGAAATTTACAAAAAACTATTTCAGCCACAAAATTGAATAAGTTCGAGATTATGAAAACTTTATTGTTTAATAACTTCATTTGAACTTCGCGAACACTAGTTGAAACTGTGGAAATGTAAGTTTTATAAAATAGTGGGCTGCATTTCGTTTCTTCGGTATTCATTACTTGCAGCGCTATTTAATTTTGAACCACCGCTTGCAACTGCATTTCAACTTGATACAATTTTTATGTTAATATCCTGAAGATTATTGTAAGTCGACCATGGGACTTTGGAACGTGCTTTCTACGTATATTCAAGATAAGTTTTAATAAGATGTTCTGAAATAATGTTTAGTATTTATACCTATGTGTATACTCTGCGTGATCGAATCAAAAATGAGGAGATCCGCAGAAGAACCAGAGTGACCGACATAGCCCGAAGAATTGCGACTTTGAAGTGGCAATGGGCAGGGCACATAGCTCGTAGGACAGATGGCCGTTGGGGCAGTAAAGTCCTCGAGTGGCGACCACGGACCGGAAGACGCAGCGTGGGAAGGCCTCCAGCAAGGTGGACCGACGATCTGGTCAAGATCGCTGGAAGGCATTGGATGCGAGCAGCGCAGGACCGATCGTCGTGGAGATCTTTGGGGGAGGCCTATGTCCAGCAGTGGACGTCTTCCGGGCTGCAATGATGATGATGATGATGATTTATACCTATACTGGTGGTTTAGCGGTTTTACACTTTACTTCCGATGTTCATAAGTCGATTCCTCGCACGGTACATACATTTCGTGTAGTACGTACTTTTATCTAGATATGGTATTTTTCACTTGTAAAACTCTCAAGTCATAGCTCTATAGAATAGTGGTAGAAATAATCTCAGAGGTCCTGAGTTCAATTTATAATTAATAGTACTAACAAACACTAGAAATATTGGATGTAACTCAAAGTAAAAAGGAAAGAAACGATATAGTGTCTAAATTATATCTATGAATAATTATTATTTATTTTATTACCTACTAATGGTCCACATTATAAATACCTTATAGACTAACATACATATGAAAAAATAATATAAATATAAATTAGCACTATAAGACTTTTCAAAGAAATAATAAAAAGGTTAGTCGACATCACAGAAGACCGAAGAGCTGGCAGCTACCTTGGACAAAGAATTAGTCTAGCTATTCAAAGAGGGAACGCTGGCAGCGTTCCCTCTTTATCTTCGGTACGTTGCCTAAACCCCTTTTAATAATAAATTTTAGTCATCATATTATATATATTTTTTAAGCTTCTTAATTTTAGGTTCTTAGTTGTACAATTAGGTTATGTAAATACTAGTAATAAATACGAATTCAATGTCATTTGAGCGGATATTGCATCCAGCGTAACCCGTCTGATCTTTACTTCAAATTTATTAATTGTGAATATAAATTGTCCGTGTGGTCACGGTATGACGACGGCAATATGCCACGGTAGCGCCTGTACACCACACCCTTCAGCCAGTAGTCCTCCTTCATGAAGGTGGACAGAATGTCGGTGGGGACCCGGATCACAAATGCCTTGAAACTCGCGTGACTCAACTCCAGCTGCGTCACCCTCAATGTCAGGTTACTCTTGGTCCTTATGTATTTGACAATGTCCTCTTTATCACAGATAATATAATAATTCAAGACTTGATATATCTTTCATGTAAAAGATCACTGCGCTACGCAGGAAAAATGGCGAAAGAATGAAAAGCAAATATTTCCTTTCTACGAAAAAAGCAAAATCTCTTTTGTTAGTCACTAAAACGCGTCGTAATAACGAAGTGACTTCCGTGACAGAGGCTTAAGGATTGGAATTAGAAGGCTTATTGGTTGATAATTTTATTTTGGGAGCCATCAAGGAAATTTAAGCTTAGTATTATTAATTTAAAATTGAAATTCTACTGACTTCGATGTAGCTTCATACTGAATAACTAATTAAAACGGATCAGATATAGAAAGAGCTTAAGCGGGATTGAATTTAGAAAGTAGTCCAAGCGATTCTGTTTATAAATTACAAATTGAAATTACGTTGCTGATTGTACTTAGACTTGTATCCGAAATGCTATATTTATGAACCAGTGCTGCTTGAACTGGTCTACTCTAATCACTACTACTGATTTAGTTCTCAACCAGTCGGTAGTGTATTTATACACTTCTACTTAAATGTAGCAACAAAATTATTTAAAAAAAGAACACGCAAGTTTCTTGCTCGTTCTTCTTGTGATGAGACAGGTTTCCGAATGAGCGGTAGAATGAAAAACAATGTGGTTGACTATTCAAAAGTGCTTCAATGTAAGTTTATTTGAATAAATGATTTTCTATTCTATTCTAAGTTATAAATATGAAATGAAATGATAAAAAAATTTTTTCCTAAAATAAAAATAGCCTAAGTTACTTCTTACATCAGCTATCTGCAAATAAAAGTTCCGTCAAATCGGTCCCGCCATTTCAGAGCTTAGCCGGAACAAACAAACAAATTAAAAAAAATGATATTTTGGTGTATGTACCGTATTTATATTCATATGCATGTAGTAAAAAACGGGTATTTCAATATTACAAACAGACACACCAATTTTATTTATATGTATATATAAAACTATAGAGTTGCAAATGCAACTCTAATTGTATTATCATTGACACTAATATTGAATGAACCTTTTCAATATTGGTACAGTTATAACTATGTCATTAAATAATATTAAAACTATGTTATTCTCCTCATATATAAACACGTTTACATACCACTATATCATGTATAAATATACATATATATGTATAAACATATAACAATGAGCAAGACAAAGAAGCAACAACGGTCGGTACCATTTGTGCTATTGTAATTTAGCTACAAAGTCAATTTGTACTGCCTTGTTTTAGCACTATGTAAATATATGTAATATTTGAATATTTTCTGTATATATTTAAGTCAGGTTGTACCAAATAATATTTTAATCAGACGATTCCAAGAAAATCAAACCGTAACGTTTTGTTACTCGTAATCCCAACATTCGTTTGATGCTAACCCTCGAGTTTATTCGAGGAAAAATCAGTTTGTATGTCTGTTTCGACTGTATATGTGTATTGTGACCTTTTTATAACAGTATTACGTGTGTTGTTACAGATTTGCCCCGGTTTGTTGGTCCGGGGTCGAACGTAACCGTCGCCCTGGGCAGGGATGCGGCGATCACCTGCAGGGTCGACAATTTACAGACTTTTAAGGTATACGTTAATATTCTTTTTCTTTAATAATGAAATATTTATTTCATACTAACATCGTCTTCACCACACTTATTTGACATTTACAATTATATTTCGCCTAATTTACATAATATATCTTTATAAAAAATATACTATATGTTGTTCTTGTATAAAGTTTCATCAAAATCCATTCAGAAATTTTTGAGTGAAAGAGTAACAAACATTCATCCATACTCAAAAACTTTCGCGTTTGTAATATACTAGAGGTGTCCGCGTTTTCACCCTCGTTAAATTTTAATAAAAAATATACCCTATGTGTTATTCTGATACATAAGTCATATTACTGTAAAGTTTCAAAATCCGTTCAGTAGTTTTTGCGTGAAAGAGTAACAAACATCCATACACACAAACTTTCCCATTTATTATTGTTAAGATTAAGATTATTTTATATCTTCATCAGGGTACACTTTGATATCGTCCTGATTCCGAAAGTATAATAAACTGTACGTCATGAGTTTCTGAGGAATTATTCGGATTCATACAAGCAGCTGAATTTCATTATCGCACTCTCCGCCAGAAACTAAAATACCAGCAGCTAAATTTCATTATCGCACTCCCCGCCAGAAACTAAAATACCAGCAGCTGAATTTCATTATCGCACTCTCCGCCAGAAACTAAAATACCAGCAGCTGAATTTCATTATCGCACTCCCCGCCAGAAACTAAAATACCAGCAGCTGAATTTCATTATCGCACTCCCCGCCAGAAACTAAAATACCAGCAGCTGAATTTCATTCGCACTTCCCGTCAGAAACTAAAATACCAGCAGCTGAATTTCATTATCGCACTCTCCGCCAGAAACTAAAATACCAGCAGCTGAATTTCATTATCGCACTCCCCGCCAGAAACTAAAATACCAGCAGCTGAATTTCATTATCGCACTCTCCGCCAGAAACTAAAATACCAGCAGCTGAATTTCATTATCGCACTCCCCGCCAGAAACTAAAATACCAGCAGCTGAATTTCATTATCGCACTCCCCGCCAGAAACTAAAATACCAGCAGCTGAATTTCATTCGCACTTCCCGTCAGAAACTAAAATACCAGCAGCTGAATTTCATTATCGCACTCTCCGCCAGAAACTAAAATACCAGCAGCTGAATTTCATTATCGCACTCCCCGCCAGAAACTAAAATACCAGCAGCTGAATTTCATTATCGCACTCTCCGCCAGAAACTAAAATACCAGCAGCTGAATTTCATTATCGCACTCCTCGCCAGAAACTAAAATACCAGCAGCTGAATTTCATTATCGCACTCTCCGCCAGAAACTAAAATACCAGCAGCTGAATTTCATTATCGCACTCCCCGCCAGAAACTAAAATAATACCCTGATCATAATGATGAATTGCTGTCGTCTACTGAGAATTTTCTAGAAATTTTTTGCTGCACACAATCATATCACCTTCCATCAAAGGTATTTCCAAACCGTAATATTTAAAACTCCTGGAAAAGAACCCTATTCCTTCTTAAAAGGCCGGCAACGTACTTGAAATTGTGTGGTGTTGCCATTACCACCCCTCATGGGCGGCGGTAATCATTTACCTCAGGTCAGCCGCAAGAACGTTTGTCCCCTATACTATAAAAAAAGCTGCTATATGTAAGTTATTATTGTAGTGCTGACTAGGTCTGTAAACGTTGATTTTTTTTTATAATAATCTCAGGACAATTCACATAGCGCCATCTAGTCCCAAGTTAAGCTATCTAAAGCTTGTGTTATGGGTACTAGATAACTGATACGAATTCATAGATATTTTTTTTCGTAAATACATACATATTATACATAGAAAACACCCAGACGGATACAAACAATCATACTCATGAATACGAATGTTTGTGCAGTGCGAGGAATCGAACCCGAGACCGTCGGACGTAAAGCGGTGTACTAGACCGCTAGACAACCGAGGTCGTCATTTATGTAATGGTTTCGTAAAAACGTTGAAATTAGTATAGCACGAAATCACGTTACCTGTTGTATAGATTTCTTTTTATCCAATCAAAAGACAGATACCAAACTTCCCAGATATAAAAGTGAGATTTTCCAGAAAAAGTTTCATTGTTGAACTTTTCTATATTAATTAAAGTTTGAAGCCTATTATGAATCTGAAATACACGGAGACTAATTTAGTTAGATGGAGATGAATTCCAGACAGACTCTTTAAGATAATTATATAAGTTCTAGTTATCTACCTTCATTGATCTGTAAATTAGTTTCTGAAGTTTCGTACAAGATATTTGCACTTTCATCTAACACTTATTATAAAACATGAAACGTCTGATAAATATTTTTGCTGTTGGGTGTCCGTCCACCGCTAGTGTGGGTTGTTGCAGCCTTAAACTAAAAAAACATTACTATCGGTTGTTTGCGCCTTTCCCTCTGTATATTTTAGTTTCTTGTTTGTTATTACGAATAAAATCCTTTGATAGTAATACGTATTTAGTTTTAATAGTTTAATCTTTACATAGTAGCATAACACGTAAAAGTTTATAATGACAAGACAAAATTCGAAGCGCCGAGTTAAGTTGTTGCCAGTCCTGTCGAGGGAGGCAATCCGTGTTCCACTTCACATTGATGACGCCTTTGATTCCTTATGAGTCTGATAGATGGCGTTAACATGGCCCTTGAAAGCTAATGGAATGTATAGACTTTCAACATATGCTATAATTGAGGTTTTCCTTCCTTTAATTCGTTTCTGTGCCTTGAGGTAGAAGCGGACATATCTTAGAAGTGGCACGATGAATGATACCAGTTGCTGTGAGTATTTCTGCCACTCTGCATATTCCGTCTTTGCCCGGGAAGGTACGTGTAATTCTACCCAGTCGCCATTTTAGTGGTGGTAGATTCTCTTCTTTAATAAGTACTAATGTATTTAGACGAATGTCTGGTTGTTGCAATTTCCACTTCGTTCTTGTTTGAAGTTCCGCCACGTACTCCTTAGACCAGCGTTGCCAAAAGTGTTGCCTCATTTGTTCTATGCGATCATATCGTATCAAACGATGTGTTGGAGTAGACGTCAGATCCTTGCATGGAGGCGCGGTCAGAAGCCGACCAATGAGGAAATGCGAAGGAGTCAAGGGGAGGAAATCGTTTGGATCGGAGGATAATGGATATAAAGGACGAGAATTGAGTATAGCTTCAATTTGTGTTAAGACAGTAGTGAACTCTTCAAAGGTCAAATTACAATTCCCTACAACTCGTCTGAGATGATATTTGCATGATCGGACCCCTGATTCCCATAAACCGCCGAAATGAGGAGCGTACGGTGGAATAAAACGTAATTTAATGCATTATTGGTGGCAAAATCTTCGATTTCTTTAACATTTTCATTTAAAAACAATGATAAGTCCTTTTGAGAACCTACAAAGGCCCCACCATTGTCACTAAATATCTCTACGGGCTTGCCGCGGCGAGAGATGAAACGTTTTAAAGCCAGTAAATAATCGTTTGTAGAAAGACTAGATACTAATTCCAAATGCAGAGCTCGAGTAGTAAAACATACGAAAACGCAGATATAACCCTTCACCAGAGAAGCACCCCTACCCTTACGGCTCAGTATCATCACCGGTCCGGCATAATCCACACCGCAACGTATAAAAGGGTACCCTGGTTCTAAACGCTCGGCGGGTAAGTTACCCATTATCGGTGTGATTGTTTTCCCCTTCATGCGCGTACATGTAACACATTGCCGAACTATCTTTCTAGCTAAGTTTCTACCAGCGAGAGGCCACCAATTTTCACGGATTGTAGATAAAAGTAATTGGGGTCCTGCATGGAACAACCGTTTATGTTCATCTCTAAATAAAAGCGTGCTAAAGTAATGTTTACTAGATAGTAATATTGGATGTTTTTTATTATAATCGAAATAGTGTGAGTTGGTCAATCTACCACCAATTCTGATTATGTCATTTTTATCTAAAAATATATTAAGACCGGAAACTTTATTTGAAACACCTTTCCCCTTGATCGGTAATTGTTTCAATAGATTATCATATTCATTTGCAAACGATTCCGATTGTGCAAACCGAACTAACATATTTGTCGCTGCGTCCAACTCGTTAACGGATAATGAGCCTGTTTTACGTAGGGACTTAGACGAGCGGGCGTTGGTTATGAAACGTATTACGTAGGCACTACTTCGTTTTAATCGTTTAAGTGAGGAGAATCGCAAGAAGTCGATTAAACTATTGGATATGCTGGAAGAAGCACATATGATTTGATTTTTTACTTCCGGCAACAAAACTGAATCATACGTACTATGATCGATTTTAAAGTCAAACTGCCGGTCTTGTAAAAACAAAGGACCCCTCCACCATAGCGTACAGTCGATAAGCATATCGAGGTAAACACCCCTAGACACAAGATCGGCCGGGTTGTCCTTACTATTAACATGTAACCAAATTGAATCACCAGTTAACTCATTTATTTCGGTCACGCGGTGTTGCACAAATGTTTTTAATAAATGAGGTGACATACGGATCCACCCCATAACTATAGTCGAGTCCGTCCAAAAATACACTTTATTGAATTGAAACCTCATTGAAGATGTAATTTTCGTATATAATCTGGCTCCTAACAAGGCGCCGCATAATTCCAATCTCGGAATTGTGACAGGCTTAATCGGCGATACCTTACTTTTAGCACACAGTAGTTTAACTGTTACTGACGAATTGTAATCATTATTGTAACTACGAATATAGGCGCAAGCGCCGTATGCACTCTGAGATGCGTCGGTGAAAATATGTAATTCCTTTACGTCGCTGTTTTCATTCAGCACATAACGCGGAATTCGTAAATCATGTAATTTTTTTAATGTATTAAGGAAATGTAACCAATTTAATTTAATGGGTTCTGGAACAGCATCATCCCAGTTAATTTTACATAACCATAATTTTTGCATCAAAATTTTTGCAATTATCGTGACAGGTGTCACAAGACCGAGTGGATCGTAAATTTGCGATAAAAC